CGCACGTAAGCCACTGATGTGTCCAGGAGCTTCCTCCTCCTCCTCTGCATCCCTGCTCAGGACATGAGCCCTCATGTTTCATGGCCGCTCACCTGGGCTTCCAGTGTCAGACGTCTTACACAAGCTCAGCTCGTAGATCCCAGTCACTCGGTTGCTATAATGAAGCAGAAGTTATGAAGAAGGAAACTTTGTAACAGGGCAGATATCTTTGATTGTGAAACAGAGATGGCCACAGTACAGCAGCCCAGATTTACCAGTCAGGAGTTTTGGAGTATCCAGTCCCAAAGAGGTTCTTGAGAGAACGGGGTGGGGAAATCTTGGCGTCTCGGGAGTAAAAGACCGTGCAGTTTGGTGATAATGGCAGGCTGGATGCAATGATCCAACTGCAGAGAGGAGATAAAGGGTGTGTGTTAGACACGATGACATCAAGAGACTTAGAAACACGTACAAACAGGTACAACACGGCGGAGCAGCGGCTGACAAAGCAAAGGAAAGGAACCCAGGGCAGCACAGAGTTGGGCACGAGGGATTTTACTGTTGAACACCACAATCTCAGTCTATAGTGAGAAACAGCTGAGGGGGAAAACACTGATCTGGAAACGTCTGAGTGTTACAGAGGATATACATAGCACTGTGGTTCAGTGTCACACAATCACAAACAAATACAGAAAAGTACTAAAAAGGGTGTTGCCTCCAAAGATCGCTTTTACTTTATAATATTCTTCCTGGAGATAATTTTTATGGTTCCTTTAAAGCTTGTGCGTGAATATAACACTCATCACACACATTTGGTGATGGTGTTCAACTTGGTGGCTGCAACTGGCACGCGCACACACACACACACACACACACACACACACACACACACACACAAGCTCAACGTTATCAAGCTGGAATTTGTCTGAATTTAAGAGAAGATGAATAAAGGTGAGGAGTATTTTCTACATGCTTTGGGTGACTAAATGGAGGATGGATAGGTGATGTGAAAACACTACTGACCCTTTATACTGAGCCAATAGCTCACACACTTCTATTAAATCTGTCTAAAGAGCCAGTAATCACAGAGGATAGATACTGGAAGCAAACTGAAATGTTAGGAGGAACTAAATCACACATTACAACACCAGTGGCAGCACCCTGCTGTCTCACACATCGGGATCACGGTCCTGTTGAAATGGGCTAATCGCTAAAGCTCACAGTTGCATTCGTCTATACTCAATACGATCGAGAGGAATATTATTACACTTGAAAACTGCTCTATTCACGTCTTCTTTTGCTGTGAATGATATGTCAGCAAGGTGCAGCACTCATAACCACAGCAGAGCTTTACCGTGCTACCGCCTGCAGACACAGAGCACTATAAGAGCACAGCACGACTCTAATCACTACAGCACCAGCATCAAATGTCTGGCTCATTAGCTACAACAGAGTCCACTGTACCAACCATGATGCTTGGGGACAGTTAGCACAGGGTCACTGGCCACTGGGAGGAAGGGGAAGTGAGAGAGCTGGTCAGCCTCGTCCTCCAGACTGGCCACAGCAGAGGACGCCAGGGAGTTGGCGTGCTCGGACAGCGTGTCCAGCACTTTGCCGTTCACATAGCCGCTCACAAGCTAGCGGATCAACTCTATCTTACGGGTATAGTCTGGATGTGTGATATTGATGAACGGTGAGAGAGATGGAAGGAGAAAAGAAGAGGAAGGAGAACAGAGTTGGGTAAGAGGTTTATATAAATAAGAGATACATACATACATATCCAAAGGAGGTGAGAAATGACAAGGGAAAAAAAGTGGAAGGTCACATGAGGCATGCTTATGTAACAAAAAATCAACATAAAATTATTGATGGCAAAGAACACATTGAAGTGACATGGAAACACTCGCCTGGTTTGGACAGAGGCATGGGAATAGGATAGTACTTCCTGGATGCTGTTGGAGGACTCTTGACATAATAAAAATACCTTTTATCTATATATGCATATAGAATTAGCCAATGTGATTAGAATACAATCGTTTACAAAATCTGCTGCATTAAATATGAATTATCACTGCACGACTGGATCTGCTGTTTGACCCCCACCAACCTGGTCCCGTCCTGATATTCTAACTCTGTAATATGCAACTTCTGTCAGTGTCCTGATACTGGGAACTGAATTTCCCGGAGGAACCACCCGAGGGATTAATAAAGTTCTATCTAATCTACATCGACAACAGAAAAAGAAAATCTGCTGCTTGCAACAGCATTGTGTTAGAAGCATTTTTACTGGAGTGAATGCATTTAACTGTACTTGCATCATCTGTTAAAAGTACTTATATATTGCAATAAGACTGCAAAAAGCAAAGGGGACTGAATTCTATAGTATGTGGTATGTGTATAAGGTGACACATGTATGCAGTTTCCTGCCATAATGTAAACTTGGAATCATCACATATCTACAGGTATTTGTACTGAATGGAATGAGCTGTGGTGATTAAAAGCATTAGCAAAAGCATACTTACTAGTAGTGGCCTTTTCTTCTTAGGTCTGGATCTCGATGCCTCTGGGACTGAAGATCACAGCCAAGTCACCAGTTTCATAAACAATAAACAAACAAAAAGCAAATAAACAAAACACTTTCAGAGATCGCACAACTTTGGTTTTCATCTTCATATGATAATGTTCCTTGAATCAAATCTACCATACACACTCTACTACAGTGTATCAAACTAGTCTAAATACTTCCACAAACAATGACATACCCATCTTTGTCTTTTTGTGGCTTTCACCAAAAACTCTCCCCCTGCTGGATCCTGTGTTGACGTACGTGATTTTGGGAGAAAAACAAAAACAAAATCATTTTAAATGGTTACATTAAATGTAATAATATCAACATTCAATAGATTTGACTGTACATGTATCAAGTGGTGTAAAATACATGTTCCTTGATCCTTGGTCAGGGAACATAAATTACTGTTGTTTCAGCCATCAGGTACTCCTCTAAAATTCAGCCTGGACTCCAAATATAAAGCATACAATACATACAAACATACAAATTACCTTTGCTGGTCTTGTTGCCTGCGTGCTCCACTTGCTCAGTGGGTCATCCTGTCCCTTGTTGAGCTCAATCTTCTCCATCACATTCCTCACTTCCTCCACCTGCGTGGTCCTCCCCTCCCGTGCCTCCATAATCGTTGCCTCCTCCTGGTTGTTGATCATTCAAGTTAGTTTACACAATGGGTCAAACTTTTAACTTTATCCTGCTTTACGCCTCCTGGTTTGTAGCAGACTAAGTATATACAGTGGCGTGTCTAGAAAATTTTTGTTGGGGGGGCCAGGTAGGGGCACAGATTTGGAGAAGGGTGGCAGATGTAATTGGCAGATAATGTTTAAAAAAAATTCTACCAACCGTTAACCATAATTAAATAACCCTGTAAACCTAATAACTGAATGTGCTTTTAACTCTTATTAGAATGAGATTTTAACCACTACGGTGCAAAGTTTTTAGATACTGCGTTGATAAAGTACAAGAGATACAATCAGTGCTTTGTCAGTGTTTACTCAGCATTCAAGGACAGCAATATTTGCATAGTATTTTTACTGACATATAGTGCACATATGTTTTGGGCAAAAACATTTTTTAATATTAAAATACGAACATTTGTAACAAATAATTGACAAATCAGCCAATTCCAATGTAAAACTTTATCTGCCTGTTAAAAAAAGAAGATAATCTTCTCACAAACTGGTGTTTGATTTTGAAAAAAGTGGGGAAACAACTGAAAAGACTAACATTTGAATGAAACCTGCCTCCCCTTCCCTCATCCACCTGCTGGCCTCTGTGGAAGCCCCGCCATAGCCACCACCAAACAACTGAGTTATTTTTACACATCGACCTGCATCTGGCCAATCCACCACCTCTCATTGTTCATGCAGTTACAAAAAAAAATAAAAAATAAGTCACCGGGCATATCCCCGGTATGCCCGATGGCCAGTCCAGCTATGTTAACCTGCAACCAAATCTGCAGCTCCATACAGCAATGTTACGACTTGGATTATATATTATAACTCATAACTCTTATGTTAGCTGCCCTCAGTAGCATACTGTCTGAAATATTCGACGGCTGCAATAATTCTTCAAGTGTTATTTTTTCCTTGGTATTCTAATTTCGCCGAAGTTTACTAAACTCAACAAACTTAATATTACTTACCGGGACATTTATTCTGGCCTCATTTTCTTTCACCGAAAAATTGTTTCCTGCGGTGCCGTCTTTCGTGCTTGGCTCTCCTACCTTTGCTAACGTGATGCACAAAGCGCAGAAGCCGATGCTGCATTCACTTACACTCGGATATCTGAGCTTCACCGTGAAAACATAATCGGACATTTGATATTTGATTGAATTTTATTGTTTTGCCTTTGGGGTGGCACCTGGGGTGGCCAGTCTGGTTGGGGGGGGTGGCCTGTGCCCCCCCCAGGCCACCCTGCTGGACACGCCACTGGCTGGCAGGAACAGGAAACAAGTGAAAGAAAACTGGCGAGCATCCTGGAAGGAAAACTTAATCGGACATAAGTTAAAACAGTTTGCAAGTTTCAAGCCAAACTGCTGAATCTACCGTCCAGCTTCTCCTTGATAGCGTGACTCTGTGTTGTTCTCCTTCATTCTTCTGTCTCTGTCTGTCAAATCTCAGCGTATTATAAACCAACTGTTGTCACCCTCTGCTGGTCAGTGTGCTGGCTGTTTTCTCGGGAATCTCAACCACAAGAAAGTTTATGCGAACGAAGCTAAAAAACCTGTGACAGTTTGTGAAACGTCATTAGCAGCAGTGAAATAAGATTCCAAAAGTTAGTGAAATGATAGAGGCTGTCTTATGCTGGAAAAATGCTTCTAGCACAAAGTGGCCCAATAAACTGAATTTTTTAATACAGAAATACATCTAATGATAAAAAGACAAGCAGAGAATTCATTGTCTATTTTCAGTTGCAGAGCTGGGATGCTCGTCTCCTCATGGAGCGCTTTCGAGCTGTGAAGTGTCCAGATATCAGCGCTCACCTGGCTGGTACCAAGAAGGTTCAGCAAGTGCTCCCCAGACCTGGAGTCCTGGACAGATTCTTCCCAGACCAGCCTCAAGCTGTGCAGCAGATCCGAGCGACATTGGCTGACCTCTACACTCTAGACATGGTGAGAAAAAGGGCACGGTTTTTTCATTGTTTGGAAAATTTGGCATTAGATAATCCTCACCTGGGTGTTGCTGTTCAGTGTAAGCAATATCGTTTGCATTTTATTCCTGTGGTTGCGCTCGTCTACAGGGTCCAGAGAGGGACAAAACAGTATCAGTGGCCTTGTCAGCAGCAGAACGGTTTGTCTTGGAGTCTCAGCGAGAAGGAGGAGGTACAGCGGGGGGATAGAAGCATCTTTAAAAATGTTGAAAACTTCTGTTTATTGCTCACCATTTGTTAAACTAGGGAAGTTTAAGCAGTGCATGAGTGGATCTGCACACACATGCAGCATTTTCTTGCATTCCATGTATGAGCTAGCCTCAGTCAAAACAGTGACGACACATACATGACTGCCTGCTGTTTTGCATTACTGTATATCTACTGTGATTCATGCATGCTGTACTGTGACTGAGATAATAGTGTATATGAGACACACTTGACAACAACATTGATCAGGATGTGAAAAAGCTACCAGATACAAGTTGTCAGCAGGGCCCTATTTCAGGAAGCCGGTTTAGAGCTAAATCTGAGTAAGTATACCCTGAGTTAACGAAAACTCTGGGTTTTCGGTTTCACAAAGCGAGTTTAGATTAATTCTGAGCGAGTTACTATGACAACACACTCCATGAAGCTAACCTGCCCCCTAGCAGGTTTACTTCAACTAACCCTAACTTTCTACGCCTCTTTGTCGGAAACCTGACTGTAGGAAGTGTCAGACATGGCGTGCTCCTTCCTTGAAGAGCCAGTAGATGTTGAAGCCCAAATTCTCTGCAGAGCTCTCCGCCGGGAGAGAGTGATTAGAGCGCGTTTGGACATTTTATCATTTCCTGATGATTTCCTGTGTGAACGTTACCGTTTTTCAGCACAATCTAGAATTTATTTGAATAACATCCTCAGGCCTAATATTGCTCATGTGACACATCGCGGACATCCTCTCAGTTCTGTACATATTATTTGTATTGCACTTCGGTTTTTTGCAAACGGGAGCTTTCTGTATAATATTGGTGACGCTGAGCACGTTCCCAAGGCTACCGTCTGTCAGGCAGTCAGGAATGTTACAGTTGCACTGAAACGTCTCCTGTACTCGTTTGTGATGTTCCCCGGTCATAGACCCACAAGATTTATCAAAGAGGGATGCCACAAAATTGCAGGTATCAGGATGAACAAAACTTAATTCATGATGTGGTGATATTTGAACTACTACTTAAATTTTACATTTATTCTCACGGTTCCCAGGCGTGATTGGCTGTACAGATGGCACTCACATTCCAATCATTGCTCCTTCAGTAAATGAAGGAGACTATGTGAACAGGAAGTCTTTCCACAGCATTAATGTACAGGTACATAGTTCCCTGTAGCATTTCAAACTAACAAATTATTTCATTATAGTAATGGATGCTAATTTGTGTTCTCTGCACTGTGAAGATCATATGTGATGCTGCCAACATTATCACAAATGTGGAAGCCAACTGCTCAGCCTCTGTGAGTGGTGGTGGTGGAGGACCCCCACCTGTTTTTCAGGCCTCCGCTTTTTTTCTGTTGGCTATAACGGGTCACATTTGAGCATACAGAGTAAGCAAATATGTACTTGTAATGTGCTCAGATAATTTCAATAAGTGCTTACAGAGGGGAAATTAATGTAGCCTCTAACTGCAATTGATTTACATAGGACAAACAGACCAAGCACTATGGCTCATAATACAATTACACCTTACCTGTTTGGACTATATTTTTATATTTCATTTTTACTTGCTGCCAGGAACGTTTGGGGCCTGTTGGGTTGCACCTGCGCTCAAATCACATCACAAAATCAAATGTATGAAATAAAAAATAAAATAAAATAAAATAAAATAACGTGTTAAATGGGTGGAAATCCCTAGATCAATGTTTAAATTAACACTCACGCATTGACTCTGTCGGCCATGTTTTGCCATGCATGCTCCCTTTCTTTTGCAGCTGAGGCTGTGTTACTTTTTTTCCGCAAAATTTGCATGTTATCGCCCACCCCCGTGACATCACGCTCCAAAGCCCTATACTGCCATCAGAATTTCGGCCTCAAGCGCTGTAAGATACATTGACCGCGCCTTCTTTCCCTCCGTCTCCATGGTGACTCGCTTAATCTGTGCTCCACTAATCAGGGCTTTATGTATCCTCGTGCGCGCGCTTAACTTGGGGTTAAAGCAACTCCGCGTTGATTGAACTAATTGTTATCAGCCTTTCTGAAACCGAATATTCCGAGTTCGACAGTTCGGGGTTACTCAACCCTGAGTATCGTTTTTCACTCTGAGTTTTCTAAACCGGCTTCCTGAAATAGGGCCCAGGTTATGGCTGACTAACCACCCTGCCTTACATCACTCTGGGTTAATACTGTAAAAAGCAATCATTAGTTTGTAATATCAGATCATTTGTTTTGATAAATACAAAGTCCAGTATCAGGGTTCATATGAGCTATTTTAGCAGTAATTTTACACTCCACTATGATAGTGTTTAGCTGTTAATCATGTTAGCAAGGAAGCTCGGGTTTGTAATTCATTCTTAATTTAGCCACGCTGCATGAATTTGGATGATACGATTTTTGAAAATGGCAGTTTCATTTATGGGGCGTTTATAAAATGGTATTTCTTAGGCTGGCTTTTAAGGAAGGAGAAAAGGTATGTATCAGTTGGCTGGGAAGAAAGATGGAGGTGGAAAGGATGTGCAAGCTATGGGACAAAGTTGCTGAGACTAGGTTAAAAAGAGGTGAGGATCAGTGAGCAGGAGTGTGGCTTTGTGCTGAAAAGAGCACAACAGATTGTCTGGAGAGAAGGTGAAGGAAAGTCAGCTGAAGCAAGACAGTTTGTGGAGTTTGTGTCGGACTGTATGTTATGCTGGGAGCCTGGGGATTAGTGGACTTTGATTCCAAGTTAATACTAGTTAGTGTTTCTCACTGGTTTTTGGGTGGTGGAGTAAAAGGGATTGGTTGGTGGCTGTTTCTAATGTTAGCCTTTTCTTGGTTTTCTTACAGGCAGGGTAAAGACATGGTGATGAATGAGTGTGTGGACCGTCTGCTGAGGACCAAGAGCTCAGGACAGTCAGACGGGGGCGTCGCAGCAGGAGTCACCATGCTCCACAATCCTCTGCTGTTCTGAGATGTCACACTCCTGCCTGCACATACAAACCACACTGAAGTCAAAGTTCCACCTGCGCCTCAACCTGTTCTTGCAAAAGCATGAAAACTGACAGAGGTGAGACAGCAGAAAAGTTTTTGTTTATTTTTTTTTTACTAAGTTAAGGAATTAAGTTAAGAAGAGTGATTAAATAAATAGTTTCTTGCATTTTTGATTTAGTGATTGTGTTTAGGATTATTTCAGAAACATGTTTAGAGGATCTTTGTAAGCCTGTATTTACTTTGAAAGAAGGGAAGCACTTCTTCATTCTACAGAAAAGGTGACACATTACAGATGAGTTCATAAAAAGTGTCACTGTCACTCTTTCAGGGCTCTGTCACTTTTTCTTTTTTACTGGAACAGCATGGTAAAGTAGGCCTAGGCTGCCATCTTGTGGCAGTGTGTTGTTACTACAACATATGAAATTGTGTTTCTATTGGAAATATAATTCAGCACCACCGAGCCGCTCTCTCAGTTACAAACTGAACCTGTTTTTTAGACATAAATTACTAAGTACAGTGAAGCTTTTGGTTTTGTAAAAGTGTTTCTTATTCTAAATGCATGTTGATTTTTATAAGGGTGAAGAGCAGTTAGCAGTGCATTCACGGACATCTTTAAACTATTAAACGAAGAATCTTTGGTCATGATGTCATGAACTAGAAACGTGAGCTCCAGGTGAGACTGCACAGAAGAACAAGTGTCCTTAAACTGCATCAACTGATGTCTTCTTACAATTTTATTCTACTGTGTGTTTTTATCATTGAACGTTTCTGTCTTTGTGTACATGTAACGCAGACACTAAAGCTGTGCCAGAATGTCATGCTGAAGAGAAGGATTCTTTTAAAATGCATGGGGGAGCAAGCGAGTCAGATACCAAGGGCACAAAGATGAAGCAGGTCTGATCGGAAACCGTTTATTTCCAGGCCAGGGAGCACAAATAAAAACACCCTTAAAAAACGTACACAATAAAATGTTATCAATAACTAAAATCCCCCAGGAATAAACAAACCCGATTCTAAAACTAGTAAAAATACAATTTTCTATGTTTACTAAAATCCCCTGGTCTAATTATGCCACATGTTTATTATGGGTCCACCAGCAGGCCAGGAATTCCTTTTTTAGAGCGGAGTCAACGCCAGCCTCGTCCCCGGCAGACGAGGAGAAGCCTCCAATCCTCCTCTTGTCCCTTCACTGGGTCCATCGCATCCCAGCCCAGCTCGCGTTCTGCATCGGAGTCCGTCATGCGATGCCACCACGGCTGCTCTCGCGTCAGGGCCCTGTAAAATAACAAACAGGGGCCAGAACGGTCTGAGATCATGGTGGTAGGCTTGTGATGGACACACTTTTCATCCCTGGAAGACCAACATGCAAGATAAATACAAAGTTCCACTGTGTGACATACATATGCTAACACAAGCTACTGTAACTTAGAGAAGCTCAGCGAGAAGAGTGAGAATGTTCAAAAATACAGCCGCATCAACAACATGAACAAATATATTACCAGGTCACAATTACAGTGAGTCCGCAAAACGTTCAGCTTCAGTAGGAGACTTGAACGTGTTAGTGATGCTGTTGTGAACTACCCGAAGCTGGGCCGGGTAGTGCAGACTGCACGTCGCTCCGGAGGCGCTAAGCTTTTTCCTGACCGTATTGAAGGCCATCCGCTGCGCAAGGACCTAGTCGGGGAAGATGGACAGATTCTCTCCATCGCAGCTCAACGGTGCACGTTGGCGTGCCAGACGCAGGACATGCCACACGTCTTTGTCATGATGCAACTTGGCTATGATAGCCCTCGGTCGCTGGCCAGCCGTTGGTTTTGGTCTAAGGGTGCGGTGTGCCCTCTCCACTTTTATCGGCTTAATAAAGTTGTCTTTCCCCAACACATCCAGCAGCAGGGATGAAACAAAGTCCGCCCTTACCGCCCTCAGCACCTTCCTTCACTCCAACAATCCTAATGTTGGCCCGACGCGAGCGCGCCTCCATCTGGCCTAGCTTGCCACGCAGGTTATCGGTGGCCGCCATTAGTTTCTTGCATATAGCTTCCAGCATACAAACACGGCAGTCCAATGTAGTAAGCGACTCATCGATAACATCTAGACGTTGTTCGGATGACCGGATATCTGCCTGGAGCTTAGACAGAATAGACTCAATTGTGTCAAGGCGGGTCTCCATAGAAGTTTTTAGGCTAGCGATAGCTGCTAATATGGCGTCGGTGCTCGCAGAATTTTCAGCTACTGCTTTCTGGCAGTGTGTTGCGTCTTTTTTAGGCGGCATGTCGTCCAGTATTTATCGTAGTCGATGCAAGGCAGTAGTGCTGTTGACCAGTTAAGTAAAGATGCAGGGTGTCGCGTTAAATTGTTGGAAAATAAGAAGAAAAGTGCGGAGCTGAGAAGAGTGCGTCCTACTCCATCAGTGTACACGAGCGCCCCCATGAAGTTTAACTTTTAAAACACTAACCGAGGCCTGTAGTGTATATGGTTTTTCGTCGTTTCTCTGAGCATCGTATCGCCTGATCTTGGGAATTTCTCAGGACATCCACCTCTGGGAAGACAGGCAGCGGTCTTAAATGTTGTCGCTGTAGCTCTGGATGTCAAATTGTTTGGAAATTACTTTATAACACTTTCGAGGTAGAGAGGCAGCGATAGTTGTGTCTGATATCTCCGGCGCACACCTGAATGCTCCAGACAAGCAAAGACTTTGCTTTTATAGAGCTCACTCTTACTGATAATCAGTTTGATTTGATTAGCAGCACCTGGCTGTTACTTACCCTCTGATACTCTATAGAAGCACTAAGTAAATAATGACATGGTGTAATATGTCATGTGTCATTCTTGATCTGAAGTTTTATTTACCTAATTTTAAGTCCTGATGAGGACCGGACACCTTCCCATCATGTTGTGTGTACCTCGATTGCTTTGCAGAGATGTCCAAAATGCACTGAAGCATCAAATTTGTGGGTCGATGATGCCAATTTGTGTGAGTAACTGGCCTAGCTGTGAGTCTATCTCGACCTGATGTGGATGGTTTCGCTGAGGTGGAAGAGTATTTGTTGACTGGACTATGTGACAGCTTAATGCAGCGCTTATATATCTCCTGGTGACATAAGAGAAAGAAAGTTAGCAATAGAAAAGAAGGGGAGGCAAGAGGTTTGTAATTAGAGCTGTGTATTCATGTTTTACTTTTAAAGTATAGAAGGATTCTGTGGCGTCTCTAGGACGCCTCTTTTCTCCACCCTGTTCTCCCTACATTACCTCCAGGTTCATCGTACCAGGCTCAGCTGTGCTCATGCACCACATCACTTCCTCATAAAGTGTTCATCATTCAAGATGCCTCAATGTCAACAGGTCGGGTTAAAAACAAAAAGCATGTCGCTGATTGTGATCCCGTTCTTGTGATCATCTCTCTGCTGTCCACGGCAGGCTGCGTGTCTGAGGTGTTCACTGTTTCAGGCAACCTGTCAAACCTCATGTCAAGGCTGCATCATCATTCTTATGTTCCTGCATGTGCAAACAGATGACTCATTGAAGCGCTGCATGGCAGTGTCGCTATACACTGGTTACTTGCTGTACCCGGGATACAGTGAATATGCCATACTAAAATACATAACGGAGACTCAAGGAGAACTCCCAGAGGAAATGTTAAACTATGGGCAAAAGACTGCAAAGTATTTCTGCAGGGAGTTCAATTCCGACAACATCTACCACTGGAAACTCAAGACAACTGAACAATATTTCCAGGAGTTTGGGATTGAGTTTGTTGACAAAAGAGTTAAAAAATTGAAGTCTCTGGATGAACTCTTATATACCAAGATCATTGAAGATGAGGATTATGCAGATGCAACTGCAAAAAGGTGTGATATCCTGATGTTTGTAGAAATGGTAAAGCACTTGCTTCACCTCAATCCCCAAAATAGAATGACACCCAATCAGGTCCTTGAGCATGCCTTTTCAAAACTGAGCCACCTTGCATGGATACGCCAGAGTAGCTCCTATGTTGAGTCCTGCTATGAGCACATCAACTACTTAAGGACAAAGAAGAAAGAGACGCCAGGACAGAGTTTCCATACCAGCAGGACAGAGTCTGCACAGAAGCCCACCTCTGACACCAGACAATCTGCTCAAAGGAACTTCCCTCCCTCTGCAGCAGAGAGAAAAACACGAGTGATCCCCCACAGCCAAAACAGTTCTCCCCATTCAACTCAGAGGAACAGCCACAATTTAGTCAGGTGCTAATACATAAAACAGCAGGAAACTGTTCCAGTCAGAGTGAAAATTCTGAGACAATTCCAAAGAAAGCACAGTGTAAAAGAAAGCACCTGCAGGAAAATGAAAAGGATACGAGTGACCCAGATCTTAAAAGAAAAAAGACAAATTGGAAAGATGTGCGCAGAGAAACACTGTACCAACATGAAAGGTCAGATCATGACCAGCAGAAACGCCACGATTCTATGGCTCCATCCTGCGCAACCACTAGCTACAGGACACAAAATTCCATCTTGCCAATTAAGAGGAAGCCAGATGAAAACATCTTTGCGACATCAAATAAGAGGGCCAGAACCAACTGCGAAAACGGCAAGAGCCAAACCTTTAACCACAGCTGGGCCGAGGACCACCGCTAGAGAATTATTTTTTTGAAATAAAAACGAAGACATCTACATCAGAAAGCAAAATAAATAAATGAATAAATGAACAAAAGTCTCTTTCAGATTTTTTTGTTTAGATTTGTTTTCTGGAGATTTTAAGGAATTACTGATTTGTGTACACTGATGCTTTAAAGCCAAAGCAGTTCATAATGATTGGCCATGCTTGCCTTAAACTCACAGGGAGATTACAAATATATGATCTAAAGCCAACATATTATTATTTTTACACACAAGTCAGATTTTTGCTGTTATTTGACATGTTTCCATTAAAATAGGTTCAAAAGAATTGCACAGATTCTGAAACCAATATGCTTGAATACATGTGACTACTTGCTTTAAAAGTCTAACGTTTCAGCCTGTAAACTCTACCATATGATAAGGCAGTAAACAAGTGTACATATAATGAACTATATACTTTTGTTTACCTCATCATAATACGTTTTATTTTTATTTTTGAGTTCTTTTCACAAAAAGACATCTTGGTATTTAGGATAAGTGTCTATGAAGAGGCAGGTAGCAGCACTAAAAAAATCATTTATTTAACATTTATTTTATTGCAACGCCTCACCTGTTTGATTTTTTTTCCTTTCATTTGAAAACACAAATGTCTGTCCTGCTCTATATAAACTGCACAGAACCTTCAAGCAATATGTTGGCAGCAGCCCTTCACTTAAAAAGCTAGAAAAGTATCATGATACACAGTCATGGACAGAAGGTTTTGGCAGTAGCACAAATGTTGTGTTTCATACAAACTTCACTGATTCTGTTTTTATTAACATGATTAACATGATCTACAGAAGAACCCACATTAGCGTGTCATAACTTTCAAAGACTTTTAATGGCAATTAAAAATCAAATATATGTGCATTATGTTGTTGGCCATTGTTCTCGATAACTTGTGCTGGATGTCAGCTTCTTCTGTAAATCCGGACTGATGATCGTGATGGGCCGCCTTATCGGGGCTGAAAGTTGATGACAACCTGTGGGCCGGAAATCCCATCACTAGCCACCGTAAATATACTTTTATTTATTC